CATGTGCATGCGTGCCCAAGATCCCGAGAGGAGAATGGAGGAGAAGGGATTGCGGCGTGACCATCCCCCCTAGGGGGTGATTACTCGCTTTCTGTCTCTATGTCTCTCTCTGTCTGTCTGGTGAGCGCATGCGCCCTACAGCGAAAATCTCTCAAAAATAAATAAATAAATAAAAAATAAATCCACTGGGAATACTTTCTAAGAATCTCAGTGGATTCCTGAAACAGTGGATTATACCAAACTATATGTACTGTTTTTTCCCCTATATAGAAATCTCTATGATGAACTTCAACTCATAAATTAAGTACACTAAGAGATAACCAATAATAACTTAAAGTAAAATAATCATAGCAATACACTGTAATAAAGGTATTTGAATGTGGTCTTTCTTTTTTCTCAAAATATCTTACTGTACTGTACTCACCTAGTTTTAGACTGTAGTTGATTGTGGATAAAATAAAAACTGGATAAAAGAGGACTACTATAGAGATAAATAGGAGTGTTTTCTAAAGGTAAAAGGATACCTTCAACAAGAAGATATAGCAATCATCAATTTGTATGTACTCATTGACATGGCTTAAGAAAAGGTAAAGCAAATTTTTATAGAAGTAGTGACAGGAAAATTCACACTTATAGTTGGAGTTTTAGCATATTTACTTCAGCAACTAATAGTCCAAGAAGACAAAGAATATATCAGTAGAGATAGAGAACTCTTGAATAACAAAACTTGACATACTGTGAAGACATTGCACAAAACAGCCGCATAATACACATTCTTTTCAAGTATACATGGATCTTTATTATGATTATTATTATGTTGTTGTTGTTGTTTATATTACATTGCACATGGGTCTTTTTTCAAAAATGACCATATGCTGGCTCAGAATGCAAATATTAATAAGTATCTACTGAAATTTTGTGGCATATATTTGCTGACACAGTTGAATAAGTCAAGAAATCAATAACAAAAAGATAACTAAAAAACATGCCCAAATATTTCAAATTAAAAATACCATCTATTGAACATAGTAAAGAGTGACATCGAGATAGTTTAACAGGACTTTCAAGTGCTTATTCCCTCACAGAAACATCAATTTAACAACTACCCGTGCCAGAAAATGCCTTCAAAAGAACTATGGAAATCAGGTGAGATAGCAACATCTGAGGTTAGTATATAAATGAAAAAAGAAATGCTGAAGAGGGTAGGAAAGACAGTTTCATGTCATCTGCATCCTCTCAACTCCAAGCAGCAGAAATATACTCTCTTCATAGGGGAAGGAGAGTGACCACTGGGCTTTGCCTTAGGCCTTAATATTAGATCTACTCAAAATCTAGCACAGGGCGCACCCCAAGACCACAGGCTCCAGGCTAACCACACAGACTCAGGCTTCAGACTCACCTCAGAACCAAGTAAGCCCTCAGACTCAGGTTCCAGGTCTCCCTGAAGCTCTATGAAGTCCCCAGTGTTCCAAGGATTCATATCTTACCTTAGCAACAGACCAGGCCCCACAGACTCAGAATCTCAGTTTGATCCCATGGATCTAAGCTCCAGGCTAGCTTGCAAACTCAATCTCTAGACAGGTCCAAACACTAAGTAGTCTCAGGCATCAGGCCTGTCCCAGCGTCAGGCTAGTCTCTGTAGTTCTAGGATTTAGATGAGCAACTGTGTGTTGACCTCCATGTCCACCCCAGTGCCAAGTCAGCCGCCATGGCCTCAGGCTCCAGGATAGCCCCATAGACTCAAGCTCCAGGTCTGCCTGAGGCTCATATCCCACTGCCAGGCTGACCTCCTCAACTCTAGTGACTGGGACAACTCCTACAGGTCCTATGCAGAAAACTCCTATGGTCCTAGGTATCTAACCCCAGAACTGAACTGGCCTCTGAAGACCCAACATACAGTCTTGCCCATTGTAAACCAGCCACTGCTTTCCCAGGCTCTAGGCCTGCATTTATAGACCCTAGCTCCAGACTTACATCCATGACATCAGACACAAGGGTGACACCCACACATTCAGCCTCTAGTCTTCCTCCCTCTTCAGATACAGTCACAAGGCCCACACAGTGCCACACTTAGCTCTGTGGTTTCAAACTTTGGGCTAAGCCCTGTAGCACCATATTCCAAAAGACCCAAGGTGCAGGCCTGCTCCAGGAGATCCAGTACACAGGTTTGTCCCTGTAGATTTCCAGTGTCAGGCCAACTTACATGGTTCCAAGCACCAAGACTGTCCCATTTGGGCCAAGCTCTAGGCCAACCATTGCTGCCTTAGCCTCCTGGCCAGCTCCTATGGATAAAGTTTCCAAATATGCTCAGCACCAGACCAGCCCCTGATGACCCAGATTTCAGGCTACCCTAGTGCCAAATTTCTCCCCATGACCAGAGGTTTTAGGCCCACTGCAACACCAAGTCACTGCTTGTGGACTCCAGATCCAGGCAAGCTTTTATGACTTTAGGCATATTTACGTTAGTAAACTTGTCAACAGAGAAGTTGACCACTGCAGCCTCATGCTCTGGAAAACAAATGGTCCAGGACTGTCCCAGTAGATCCCAGTACTGAATTCACT